CCCCCCTCGCCCTGCTGGCCACACTGCTCTTGATGCAACCCAGAATATGGCTCGCCTTTCTGGGCTGCCACCACAAAGAAACCACCAGCACGCTCTGTCACTGATCAAGGTTAGATGAGTTGAGTTTCCCCTGTGCTCTGAAGTAAATAAACCCATCATTGTTGTTGTGCAGAAAGCACGCAGTGCAATCCACACTTCTTCCCCTTCCTCCATCCGCTCAGTTACCAACAACCCATTTCTTGACTGGGGAGAAGCTGTAAACGTGATGGGTTTTGATACAGGCTGCGCAAAGCATCACTGGGAATCAGAAAGACTCTACTAGACACTGGGATATTATCTTGATGTGTAGAGTCTCTAGCATTCAAATCACTGGGCTAAGAGCACCCTCTCTGTAATTATCAGACAGCAGCTTTTCTCTCTAATGTAACTGCTGTCAATCATAATATCTAAGGTATTGTGTCTTCTTAATTGGCTGGAAATCTCTAAATAAAGACGAGTTTAATTGGGAATTCCTTCTACAAAGGATTTCTAGACAGCAATTTAGGAGCCATCACTGTATAACAAGTGAAGATTATTGAGGAAAGTTACATATAAATAGATGGAAGTTGCTAAATAGAATATATTACACCTATATATAATTTAAATTCTGGAGTACAGGAGACCAGAAGGAAAAAATAACCAGTGAGCTGAAAGTTTCAGAATAATTAGTTGGTGCAAGTCAGTATAATCAACTACAAAACAACTTGATAACTGAGCAAGTTACTAAGGTTGGGGCACAGGAGGTGTCCTGTGATCCACCAGGTCCATGCAGAGCTTACCTAAGACTACAGTGTCCTGACATTCATCCTAATTATCAGAGTGATATAATTTGGTCTGACTGTGATCCCACCTCCACTAGCTGAGGTGTAAATTCCAAGAGCTGGAGAAATAAGCCTACCCTTGGGGTCAGCACCCTTCCTAACCTAAAGTAAGTGCTACTAAAACTGTAAACTCATGTTTTTATTGTCATGGCTGGTGCCACTTACATGTATTCCTTTAATATCATCAGATGAGCAAAAAAAAAACCCCCAAAATACAAATATTAGTAGGTACATCTGAAATGTTAATATATTTCAATGAGCTACCTACTTTTATATTCTGCAGCCAACACAGGAAAACAATAGAAAATGCTTACCTAAAGAGTTTTGAACAAGGCTCATGGTTATGGATCTCTGCAACAACAAACAAAAAGAGAGAGATATATGTCCAACTGCTCAATGTAAAGAGAATTTACAGTGGCATATAGAGCATACAAAGCTTTCCACATCACACCTACTGAACAAATAAATATTGGTGTCAGACCACACACTAAGCCCTTAATGTCTCAAAACCACCTCATGACACAGCATCATACCTGGAAAACGAGCTTCTCATCCTCACCTGCCATTTTACAGAGGAGGATATTTGAACAATAAGGAAGACATACACTTGCTTGGATACACAGAGATACATCTGAGTCTGAAACATACTCTTTTGATAATGATTTTATGGTTGTAACCTCCTCACAAAGGCATTTATGATTTGTTTTTTCTTTTTGATACACCTTTTCACAACAGTTTACTTGCATTCAATACACTGTTTATTACAGCAGCAATGAATAAAAAAGGGATGGGGAAGGGAATTACTGAAATGTCACACTTTAGAGTATTTAACCAGGCAAGGCAAATGGAATTCATGATGAGAAAAGAGGTTAAATGCCACTCCAGAATGGTTAGCTGCAATTTATAATTCTATATTACTGAGATATTAAAAATATTAGTTAAATAAATATTTAAAATATTTGTATAAAAATATAAATAATTTTTAAAATTCTATATTATTGAAATAGGAAAAAGTCACAGCAGTATTTTTTTTCACTGAAGAGGTTGTAATACATGTTAAGATGCTTATTTAAGCAGCAAAGGTTGTAACATGTCAGTAATCTTGGAGGAGAATAAGGAAAGAGCAAAAAACCAATCCACAGTGTCTCTAACACCAAGCACAACTTACCTTTTTGTGGTGTTTAGTGGTTCTTTAAAGTTCTCCTCTACTCTGATGTTTTATCATTATTTAATCATATTATTATACCTTGATCACATAACTTTTGTGTGAAACTGCATTTGCTCAGACAGAACAGCACTTCTGTAGCAACAACATTTCAAGCTCCTCTATTAGAACCCCGCTGGAGTGTTTAGCAACAGCTCGGTTGAGACTCTTCCTTCCTGGAGTGACTCACCACCTGCTGTTCTGAAAGTCACAGACTGCTCACGATCACAATTGCCATCTCAGCAGAGCCAGAATCAGATCTCAGCTCCCAAGAGCAACAGACTACACACATTAGCAGCATCTCAGCATCTTCAGCCACTATCAAAACAAGGCCCTGAACATCCATGGCAGGCATGCTGTCTGAGAAACTCTACATTTTCACTGGCAAGAACTCCTCGTGATGTTTAGAAGTGTTATCAACCCTACATTTTCACCCTGGCAGAGAGGAATTTGTGGAAACAACCTGCCAGTAAATGCAATTATTGCAGCTTAGACTCCTTCCAGCAAATAGATTGACCATGACTGAGAATATACACTTGATTCTTGGGTGATGTTGCTACACAGACCTTGTCTTTTGAAAAAAAACCAGGAAGCAACAAGCCTACTGCTCTAGAGTGTGTGAAGCAGTCATCAGTCTAAATTTAAATTGTACACATTGACTTATTTTTTTATATATATAAAAAGAGAGAGAGAGAGACAGAGAGGGTACATATACTATATACACAGATATATACTCAAATATTTAAATTGTACACAGTGACTTATTTTTTAGAGAGACAAAGAGAGAGAGAGAGAGAACATATACTATATACACAGATATATACTCAAACACCACCACCAAGCTTTGAGACAGCAGACACGTAAGAATCTCTGTGAGTTAAAACTCCTCTGTGACAACAGGGCCACAAAACTGTCCATCTCAGTTCAGGAGCTGAACTGGGAGTTCAACAGTTAATGTTGATGAATAAATATTGAAGTAAAAATTGGGTAAACAAACAAAAAAAATAACCAGAAAATCACTGGGGTGAATAATTTCCCTTCACAGAAAATAACTGCAATCAGGAACGTGACAAGAGAGTATCTAAAAAGAGGATAATTTTTAAGGTCACAACCACTTGGTTTATGAAACCACACTGAGACTGCAGTTGTTGATGTTACTGTGTTAACCAAGATCAGTCACCACTGAATAATCATGTCTAGTTCTGTCCCAACAGACATAGCTATCAGCTGCTTTCTTCTATACAATAATTTGATAGTGATTATAAACACACAAAAAAACCCCTATGTCTTTATTTTTTTGTAATTTAGCTCAATTAATTAATTGTAATTAATTGACACTTCACACAGTCAATTTGTCACTCATTTTTCCTCAGGAAAAACTGGAACAGGAAACTACTTAACCTCCTGGGTTCCTGTACACACAACCATCACTGCTTTAGGGTAACACAATTTGGTACACACTTTCCAAAATCTTTAGTTCTGATTAGAAATAACATTTGAGAGTCAACTCCTGGATGTCTGTGTCTCAGCTGAGCTTTATTCAGATGCTGCTAAGTCATCTAGTATCAGAACCACAAAGCCAGCTACGTACAAGTTCAGGTTTTTAAAGAAGGTTTATATGTATTTTAACACTGGGTTATAGATATGTATAACAAAAAAGGCATTTTCTTTCAGGGCTTTCCTATTTTCTATCAACCACAGAATTAAAACATGCAAGAGCTTCTCACTCATGTAAAAAAAACCCATCTACTTCAACCAACAACACTTAACAGCAAGATCTTAGATCTTCTTTCACTTTTTATAACAACAACAAATCAGCTGTCCTCGTGTTTGTCAATAAACTGTTTGACAAATATTCCTTGGCAAAATCTTGCTGTGACAGGTTATGATGCCATCAGCCACCAGCCAGCCATCTAAACCCTCTACTGGAAATCTGCCCCCTTTCAATATGAGTAAATCAAGCAACACATTTTATTTTGAGTTCATGCTTGTATTTAATCAACCATGTCAAGCAGGAAACTCCCCATTTTATTTTGAGTTCATGCTTGCATTTAATCAACCATGTCAAGCAGGAAACTCC